CTTCTTTCAACGCGGCGGCCGAAGCGCAGGACTTGATCAGGAAAGGGAAGGTGAGCTGGTTGGGTCGAACGCCGCGGGCGAGCATTGCTCGAAAGACCCAGATGGCCTCTCGGGGCGAGTCGCTGGAGGCGCAGCCACGGATGAGGAAGTTCCATGAAGACGGCGGGGAAGACTCAGAGTGGTCTAGGAGGTTTCGGGCGTAGGCGAAGTTTTTGGCGGGAGACGAGGCGCAGAAGCGGATGAGTTGGGTGAGGAGAAAGTGGTCGTTTTGAAAGCCGGAGACTTGGATTTGGGCGTGGATCTGAGAGAGGTGTTTGAAGGTGGAGCACCGGCTGAGGAGATGGAGACATTGCTCCTTCTTGGAGCCAAAGTTTGAATTACAGTTGTTGGCGGTTGGGTTTGGAAGCCGAACCATGCACTTGGGTTATGGGGATTGGATTGGATTGGATTGGATTGGATTTGGGGAGAAGTCTCGGCACGTAACAAAGTAGTAAAACAGAGTGACTTAACCACACGTTTGTTGAAAAAGGTTAGTACGTGCTTAATTGTTAATTTCGGGCTGGTACTCTTTGGAAATACTTTTTTAGAAAGTACTTTTCCTAAAAAAAGTTTGTTACGAGCATGAGAAATTCAAATTCGAATATATAGACATAGTAGTATGTTATATTTAATGTAACTCTATCCACGTCTACAAATGTATCCAAAAGTTACTGAGTGATTTACATTATTTACAAGTATGTGATAGCAAAAAGTTTGTACATGTATGGTGATATATGCCTAGGCTTCAATCATCGCCCTTACTGATTTCCTATCCAACTTTGCCATAGAAGTATCTGTGAATTCAGAAAGAATTGCTCTGAATTCATCTCCTGTGAGAATCTCCTTTTCCAAAAGCACTTCTACTAACTTATCAATGGCCTCCCTGTTGTTCCTCACATGCTTCTTAGCCATCTCATATGCGTTTTCAATTATCTGTCTCACTGACAAATCAATGTCCTCCGCCAGCTTCTCAGACATGATGTTTCTTGCCAGCATCCTCAGCACGACATCGCTGTTTTGTGTTGCCGGATCTATCAGCGCCCAGGGTCCAATCTCCGACATCCCAAACATTGTCACCATCTGCAAAGAATGGCAAACTTGTAAACTTTCTCTAGTACTTTTTGGTACATAGTTCTTGACATTTAAGATTGGGAAGTGATTTTCACACTCTCGTTTTCTCATTCTACACTTGCGTTAATTAAAGTATTATGTATTTACCTGTCTTGCTATCTGTGTGACTTGTTGCAAGTCTCCTGCTGCACCAGTTGTTATTTCTGGTTCCCCAAAAATCACCTCTTCTGCTGCCCTACCTCCTAGACCTCCAACTATTCTAGCAAATAGTTGTTGCTTAGAAACAAGAGTAGGATCTTCGCCTGGTATGAACCATGTCAAACCGCGTGCTTGGCCTCGAGGAATCAAGGAGACCTTCTGCACTGGATCGTGGCCGGGAGTCAGTGTCCTGCAGTTCACAAAGAATACATAACATTTAGTTCAAAAGGCTTGAAAAAAGTTGCTGTATTACTGACCTAACCTACGTTTGCGACAGCTAAATGAAGAATGAATGCAAACTTACGCACAAATAGCGTGGCCAACTTCATGATAAGCCACAAGAACTCGGCTCTTCCCATCAGTCATTTTTGTGCCTTCCATCCCTGCCACAATTCGATCAATCGAGTCATCGATTTCCTTCATTGTTATCTGATTTTTGCCTCTCCTACCAGCAAGAATGGCAGCTTCATTCATGAGGTTTGCAAGGTCTGCACCGCTGAATCCAGGAGTTCTCATGGCAATAACACTCAGAGAAACATCCTTATCAAGCCTCTTATTGCTGCTGTGAACTTTTAGCATCTCTTCTCTTCCCCTTATATCCGGTAATCCAACGCTAACCTGCCCGAGAAACACGACAAAATTAACCCGGTTTTCGAATACCAGTCACAGCTCAAAAACTTAAGAAAGTTGGAAAGCTTGGAACACAAGTAACAGCTAGCTTACCTGCCTGTCGAATCTGCCAGCCCTAAGCAAAGCAGAATCAAGAATTTCAGGGCGGTTTGTGGCGGCGATGACAATCACTCCACTGTTCCCACTAAACCCATCCATTTCAGTGAGCAGCTGATTCAGAGTTTGCTCCCTCTCATCATTTCCGCCGCCGATTCCTGTGCCTCTCTGCCTCCCCACAGCATCTATCTCGTCAATGAAAACCAGGCACGGAGAATTCGCCTTCGCCTTGTTGAACAAATCTCTAACCCTAGAAGCTCCTACTCCCACAAACATCTCAATGAACTCTGATCCCGACAGAGAGAAAAAAGGCACTCCCGCTTCACCTGCAATGGCCTTGGCCAGCAGTGTCTTTCCGGTCCCTGGCGGCCCCACAAGAAGAACCCCTTTGGGAATTCTTGCTCCAACTGCAGAAAACTTTTCTGGGGTTTTCAGGAATTCAACAATCTCTTGGAAATCTTGCTTTGCTTCATCGACTCCGGCCACATCATCAAATGTCACCCCTGTATTGGGCTCCATCTGAAACTTGGCTGTGCTCCTGTTGCTCCATATAATATAAGAGTACGGAAATCATGTCAAGTATTCAGTTGAATCAAATCATGAACGTTAAACACCCTAACTTACAGTGGTGGAGATGAGTGTGCCCTTGCACCACAACATGGGTTATAATCATGTCGGCTTCCTAATCTAATATCTAATCGAACAATTTTATCGTTTGACAAAAAGATTAAAAAAAAAAAATGTAAAGACGTCTGTTCTTTATTATTGATGTGTTATCAATAATGTGGCAATATCATCATCGTCAACGAAACGTATCAACATGGAGTCGATACGTTCTTCAACAATATTGTACAATAGAGAACTTTTGTGCATTCCTTAATAAAGAACATATGTCATTCATACAGAATTTCCGCCTTGACTTAATATGAAGTACAAAATTTATGCCAAGTATTTAGCAATGCAACCTAAACTTAGTCCGTTGTTTTGATTTGCCTTCTAAACTATTAATTTCGTCCGTTCAAATGACAAAAACAAATTAACAGTTGCCTTCTAAATTATTAATTTCGTCCATTCAAATGATAAAAACAAATTAAAAATCGAGAGAGCAAATCGAAAGAAGTTCATTACTTAAAGGTGCACTGCTAAAGTTTTTCCGGAAAATTAAAACTAGCTAATGCCATATATGAGATAGTTGGTAAATTGTATACCTTCCAAGTCCAAAAGGCAAGTTGGGGCCTCCTGGCACGTTTGAAGAACTACTCCTCAACAGCAATGTCCCGAGCAGGATCAAAGGAAAAGCAAAATTTCCCAACAAATCCAGCACTGCAGGCAACCAATTAACCTCCATTGGATGAGCTGCAAAATCTACGTTCTTCTGTCTCATTTTCCTCAGCAGCTCCGGTGGCAGTCCAGGCAACTGAATCTTAACCCTCTGGACTTTTTCCAACGCCGGATTAAAAATCTCGGCGATCGCGACGGTGCCGTTCTCAAACAAGTCCACCTTCTTCACAGCGTCTTGGTCCAAGTATTCCAAGAACCTGGAGTATGACATTCTGCTCGAAGTCGACGCGGCCGGGCTCTCTGGCTCTGGCTCTGCTTTTGCAGGGTTAGAAACAGAGAGGGGTCCTGCAGCTCCTAACAGGGTCAGTCCCAGTGAAGTGGAATTTAACAGCGACCTTCTGGTAGATTTGAAGTTTGAGGGAGTTTTGTGACATGGGTTCTGTTTTTTAGGGTTTTTGGGGAGTTGGGTGTCCTTTGAAATGTCCTGGGATTTGCAGAGTGGAGAGAGAGAGATTGAGAGGCAGAGAGCAGGTGACATGTTCTTAGGTGAAATTGCTCGATTAGGGTCTGTTTGCTACGCAGGACTGGATTGGACTGGACTGTTTTGTGATTGGAGTGCGTCGATCGTTTGAGCAAGTTTAGAGTGGAAGAGTGGTTTAATATGGGAGGCATTGGAGGTTTCTAGCACTTCCAATTTGTCATGTCTCTTCCAGTTTTCTGTTTGATTCATGAAACGTCGAGAAGTCTGTACAAACTTGATGTGCAAGATCAATACGTAATCACAGTGAAAAAAATTGGTGACCTCGAAAATTTATGAAGACGACATGAAATTTTGAAGTCTTACCATCATCTCTCAGCCGCACACTTGGAATGGAGTGGTACATTTGGTAATCAACATCAGCATAATATTGGGTCCAAATTAATCATGCATAATCGTGGGTCCAAATTAATCAAGAAACTCTTAAATTTGGAGGGTGCAGTTTAAACTTCACTCATATTGAATAAACTCTTAAATTTTGGCTAAATTTGCTAGACTTCAACAATATTTTCCAATGATCAGTTAAAATATTGACAAACTGCGATATTTCTTATAAGTTTCATTTTAAATTAGAGAAATTTCTACTGGAGCAGGTGCTATCCGAGAATGATTTGGATTGGCAAATCACCCTTTTTAGAAAATTTCCATCATTTTGTATCGAAAGCAATATATATTGATATTGATATTTCTACAAATTTACATATCAATATTTTCACCGATATAGATATTTCAAACACTGATTATACTAAAATAATCTAATCGTTCATACATGATTAACATGTCAATTTTTTTTCACTATAAACAATTATAGAGATGGGGAATCAAATTCAGATACCTCGACTATAATAACCCTTGTGTGTTGCATGCTTTGCTTCCAAAGAGAATATATCTAATAAGTAACTAGAAAAAAAAATGTTTTGTAAATTGTTTGAATTATTTTTCAGAAAAAAAAAAAAAAGATTTTGAACAGTTAACTATATGAAACAGTTATCATTTCACCAATAACCGTTGATAACTACCTAAATTTGAATTTAAACTAGTGACAAAGCCTCTATATAAATGTAATTGAAAAACCGTTTGAAAATTAAAATCCATATCCAGAATACCAATTGATCGAATTTGCCCAAAGAGAAGAACAACTACAAAAATGGACCAAAAAAGCGATGGAGTTGGAATCAAAATCTATAACAATGCAGTCTACGGGGACCCGCACGACGACGAGTCCGCCAAGTCACCACCAAAGCCGCCGCCAACTTCTTCTTCATCTCACCCTCTGCCTTTGCTCCGACTGAACCCGGACCACTTACACGGCCGCAAACGCCGTGCCGTTGCCAAAGGGGTCCAGAAAACCCTATCCAAGACCTCAATGCTGGCCAACTTTCTCCCCACAGGCACTCTCTTAACCTTTGAAATGGTGCTCCCCGCTATCTACAGAACCGGAGAGTGCACGGGCGTCACCACTATGATGACACTCGTGCTCCTTGGCATGTGCACCCTCTCATGCTTCTTCTTCCACTTCACGGACAGTTTCCGTGGGCCTGACGGGAAGTTGTACTACGGATTCGTGACGCCGAAAGGACTAGCGGTATTTAAACCGGGCCTGGGGGTGGAGGTGCCGAAGGAGGAGAGGTACAAATTGGGGCTGTCAGACTTCGTTCACGCCATTATGTCTGTCATGGTGTTTGTGGCGATCGCATTTTCGGACCGGCGCGTGACGGACTGTTTGTTTCCGGGGCACGAGAAGGATATGGATGAAGTTATGGAGAGTTTCCCGTTGATGGTGGGGATCGTGTGCAGTGGCTTGTTTCTTGTGTTTCCGAGTACTCGCTACGGGATTGGCTGCATGGCTGCGTGAATGAAGCATGCAGACGCGTAATTCAAGATACAATTTATTTGTTTTATTAATTAATGATGTTTGTGTTTCTGTAAGTTGTATTAATATGTTTTATTGTATGTGTTTTTATATGTTAATATTGATATGTTGTATCATGCTTCACTTTGACAATGAGTCTGTCTGAGTAATAGTATATCAAGTTGCAAATTTTATGATATTTATGTGTGTATGTATATATATCTAGATAGATATGTGATACTACTTTTTTTACATAATTTTTATTCAAGTTTTTGTGGAGCCTATATTATAATGTATTTTAATATTTCAAAACATCTATTTTTTAGGTTTATTTCAAAGATCATGTCTACAAAAAATACTCAAATCTGAAACCATATGACCGTTTCAATCGATCACTAATCATATCTTTATCTAATGACCTAAGTCATGTGCATGAGTTGATTTCTTCTCTCCTAATATTGCTTGAATCTTCTTTTCCATTTGCAAAGGACAATCAAAATAATAATCATATATAACATGTGTAATCAAGAATTTGCCTAATCAGTATATATATAACATATGCTGTAACCATTATCTTGCCTAATTGCCAGATTCATTCAAAATAATCATTAATATACCTTCTAAAAATTTGTGTATATATTTGGACAATCGAACATATGTAGTTTCTCATCCAAATTAAGGTGGATTAGTTTTAGATACAGAACCCACCCATCAATTATATTCTTGTTAATTATTTGTTAATATTTTTGGAAAATGGCCAGCGTCAATAAAATTGTATTTTGCATGGCGATCGTACTGTTTATAACTGTAGTAATACGACAATGAAAGCTCAAGCAACTACTCGGCTCTCTAGCCTCCCATATCCATATGTCTATCTCAACGACACCAGGCTGTCTTCCTTCGCCAAGGCCGCCGTTGCCAGTAAAGATGAAGATGAAGATGTCACATTATAACTAGAATTGATTCTATTAGTTTAATATAAGTTTGTTACACATGTAATTAGTGAGTGAGTTTGTTAGGAGTGAATAGCCAAAGGCTATATATATGTAACTGTTTATTCTACTGATGTGTGTGAAATATAACAGTTTTCTTAATCTCTAAGAAATACTCTTTCTCTCTCTTCCTCAAGAACTCTGATATTCTACACTATTTTTTGGGTTTGGAAGTACACCGAACTACCACCAGTCTCTTTTTGCATCAAGGCAAGTATCTCATTGATCTGTTGCACAAGACCAATATGGCTGGAGCTAAACCCTGTTCCACTCCCCTCAGTTCCTCCAAATTAGATCACAGTGGTGTCTTGTTACCAAATCCTACTGAATATCGATCTATTGTGGGTGCCTTACAATATCTCACCTGGACTCGACCCGATATTTCCTTTGCTGTCAACCAAGTGTGTCAGTTTATGCATGCTCCCACAGTCACTCATATGCAGGCAGCAAAGCGGATTCTTAGATTTCTCAAAGGTACTGTTTCTCACGGTCTTTTGTTCAACTAGGGTTCTTTACATCTCTCTGCCTACTCGGATGCGGATTGGGCAGGCTGCACCTTTGATCGACGGTCCACTAGTGGTTTCTGTGTATTTTTGGGTTCTAACTTGATTAGCTGGTGTGCTAAGAAACAAACCACAGTGGCTCGTTCATCTACTGAGGCCGAATATAGGTCCTTGGCTCACACAGCAGCCGAACTTACTTGGGTCTGCAAGGTGTTGAAAGATTTTGGCTTCTCCTTATCTGCCACCCCAACTCTCTGCTATATCTCTTGCCTCTAATCCTATCTTCCATGCTCGCACCAAACATGTGGAGATCGATTACCATTACATTCGGGAATTGGTTCTTGCCAATTTAGTCAGAGTGCAGTATGTGTGTAGTCAAGACCAAATTGCAGACATTCACACCAAATCCTTATCTAAATCTCGGTTTCAGTTTCTGCAGTCCAAGCTCTCTCTTGGTACTCTTTCTCGTTCCAAGTTTGGCTTGAGGGGGTGTAAAGATGAAGATGAAGATGTCACATTATAACTAGAATTGATTCTATTAGTTTAATATAAGTTTGTTACACATGTAATTAGTGAGTGAGTTTGTTAGGAGTGAATAGCCAAAGGCTATATATATGTAACTGTTTATTCTACTGATGTGTGTTAAATATAACAGTTTTCTTAATCTCTAAGAAATACTCTTTCTCTCTCTTCCTCAAGAACTCTGATATTCTATAGCCAGTATGTAATTAACAAGTTTAATTAATCCCCAATAGTAATTTAATTATTAATTAGTTATGTACTATACACAGTTAATCGACTTAATTTTGTTTGTTGAATAACATGTTGTAGAATGTGAAGGGAGATGTGTATGCTGCCCGCGTGTGTATGAACCCAAGCCCTATTGCTTTGAGTGTTGCGATCAGACAGGCACTGCCCCAACGCCGACCTCTGCTTTGCAGTATTATGCATAATCATACTGCTCTCAAGACTATGAAGAGTGAAGGCTGCCTATAACTTTTTGATTAATTAGTCAATAAATGGTGTAACTTCAATCATATAATCATCGGGATAAAACATATGTATTAATTTTAAGGCTTATTTTTAGCTATGATACATATAGTATTCATCAAATCTCACTTTATCATCTACACTTTGTATTGTCTCATTTTACCACCTGCACTTTTTCTTTGTATCCCACATATCTTCTACACTTTCTATTGTGTAACGTTTAACATGTGCAGTTTTTCTTAATGTCTCACTTTACTCTATTCCGTCAATTAAGTTAAAAAAATTTGTTAATTGTATTGATGTGACATGAACAATTTAGTCTTTTCAACTAATTTTGTTGTGTGGCATGTGACATGACATGCTAGCGGAACCCTTGGGTAATAGGAGGTGAGTTAAAATCAAACTAGGTTTTGATTTCTCTAGATTAAGACAAAAATATAAGAATAGAAGGTTGAAATATAAAAAAGAGTGTTGAATTTCAATACTTCGTGAATCAATTTAAAGTTTTCAAATCATTTTGTATAGATTTTTTGGGTTTTGTCATGAGAATCTCGACCTTTATCACTTTCCTCTTCTTTATTTTTCTTAATTTGAAAAAATCAAACCTTGATTTGAGGTTAACCCATATTCCTGCATTCATGAGTCTTACTAACATGGTTGAAAAAACAAAATTGTCCTTGCCACATTAGCACAATTAACAGATCTTTTTAACTTAATTGAGCGAATATGGTAAGGTGAGACATTAAGGAAGAGTGCAAGTGTTAAAGTGAAACAATATAGAGTGTAGGGGGCAAAGTGTGACACAACAATTAAAAAAAAGTGCAAGCGGTAGAGTAAGTTAATATAGAGTGTAAAGGCTAAAGTGAGATCTGACGAAAAGTAAAAGTGTAAAATATAAGCCTAATTTTGAAATGAAAGTTTGGATTTTGTTGTCTTTTAAGTATGAAATTTTACTTCTTTGGTTTGCATTTGTTGCAACTTGCAACATTATGCAAAGTGCGTAAACGGGATATGGCAATTGGTAGTAGCTAGCAAGGAAGAAAATATCGGTAATATCGGAAATATCGGTAGTCCGAAAACACGGAAATATCGATGGAAATATCGGGATAATATCGATATCGATAAAAATTACATGGAAACCACGGAAATTGTAAGAAAAACTTGGAAATTTTTAATGAAACTTTGTAGGATGTTTATTTAATCAATTATCTATTAGTTTATCACAAAAAATTGGAAGGAAATGCATTGCATGATGGATTTAACTGATTTAAGTTGATTATATAGCGAGCTGGCAAACATTGTGAGTGTAGAAAATATGTAGTAATTAATGAAAGAAATTTAAACACACCATAATCATTTATATATAATTAATTAGTACAATATTTGGAGGTTTTATTTAGGATATTAAAAAAAAAAAAAGGGAAGTGAATAAAATGATGAAGAATAATGTGCCGAATTTGACACTTTAAATTTCTTACACATAAGCATGCGTCTAGGCGTTGAAGTTCTAAATTATAGTATATCAATTAACGGTTGAAAATCAATACATTGAATAAGACTAAACTTTAATTTGGATGCCGATTATGTTTTTTCAAGTTTATATAAAGTAAAAGAATTGAATTTTGGAAGCCAGGAGTGTGTCAATTGAATTTTGGCCAGTGTGCAAGGTATCAATCTCTTCGTCTCGTCGAGTAGTACAACTTTCCTTTTTGTTTCACTCAATTTCGTTGAGTATTGAAAAAGTTATACTCATTTGAATCTTACCCAGTTTCCGGCAACCTCATTGGCTTTAGAGGCAATTTCCGGCCAAACCACAACGAGTCAGACGTCATGTGAGGTACCATTCTCTTCGTCTCTTTGAGGGCTACAACTTTCCTTTTCGTTTCACTCAATTTCGTTGCGTATTGAAAAAGTTATACTCATTTGAATCTTACCCAGTTTTCGGCGACCTCAGTGGCTTTCGATACAATTTCCGGCCAAACCACGGCGAGTTAGCCGGCGTGCAAGGTATCAATCTCTTCGTCTCGTCGAGTAGTACAACTTTCCTTTTTGTTTCACTCAATTTCGTTGAGTATTGAAAAAGTTATACTCATTTGAATCTTACATAGTTTCCGGCGACCTCAGTGACTTTCGAGGAATTTTCCGGCCAAACCACGACGATTCAGATGTCGTGTGAGGTACCATTCTCTTCGTCTCTTCGAGGGCTACAACTTTCGTTTTTTTCTTGCTTGATTTCGTTTCGTTTTGGACAAAGTTATGGCTGTTTAAAGTGGGTGTAAAATTTCGGCCGAAATTCTGATTTTCTCCCCATTGGCGCGAGTCCCACATCGCCCATGTGAGGGCAGTGAGCAAGCAATTTTTCCTATAAAACCCACATTCCCCCTGCTGAGAAAATCCTAGCTTGTATGGCCTTTGAGCTATGATCAAGTGAAGTATATGTTGAGTTTTCTCAACATATTTAAGTATTTTTTAGTATTATGTTGCGATATTATTGATAATATCGATAATATTGCGATATTATCGATAATATCGATAATATCGTGATATTTTGACGAAAATCATTTTGGTAGTTAAAAAAATTTCGGATCTCCAAAAAAACGATAATATCGGCGATATTTTGCCGATATTTTCTTTCTTATCGCTAGGACCCTAGGAAAAGAAAGGTCAAGCCCCGTCCATTATATGTAAGGTTGGTCACAGTTTAGTTTGGTTCGGTAGTAACCCAATTATTTAACAGTAGATTACGATCGGTTTGATTTCGATTTGAATAAAATGGGCATATCAACAAAACAAAACCGGATTTATCCAAGAATGATTCGATTTAATAGTTTATGTTCCGTGTGTGCATGAACTCGCGTAAATTTTTGTTTTAGTATTACATTTACCATCTATTTGTACCATCATTTGTATCATCTTTCTAATAGAGATAAGGTCCGCTAACGCATATGAATTCTATCTTTATTAGAAAAATAATGCAAATAGTTCCTCATCTCATAGCCTTCAGAGGCCAATACATTACTTTATGGCATGCTTAGAAATTCTACCAGTTGTACCAATTCATTTCAACTTTCTAAACAAAGAGATTAACTAAAGCATTTTCAAGTTTAAAAAGCAAAAAGGTATAAAGAAATTGATTACAAAACAACTTGATTGTTCAAGATTGGAATAAGTAGAAGAAAGTTGCCTTTTAAATTAGATAGAAAAGTTCTTATAATTTCATAATTAAAAAAACTAACAAACTCCTTTGATAAAATTTTTATCCTAACATGTTAAATTATTCGACAAATTTCAATCATCAACCTTTTAATTCTCGAAAAGCTCTACATCATGTCTAAATTCAGATTCTTTCGATATTTCACAGTTCGAACAACCCAATCATTTAACAGAGCGAAAGAGATCTAAATTCTTAATTTGTATGTGATAAGTTAATAAAATGAGAAAAATGATCCAAATTTCTCATTGGTCCACCCAAAACTGCGAAATCTGTTAGATGACCTTGATTCCTCGTATCTCCCAAAACCAAAATGACACTACAACTTTTCATGGTGTCAAAGTCGGTGGCAGCAGACTAGAAATAAAACAACTTTTCATGGTGTCATAGTCAAAGCGAAAAATGTGGCAGCAGATTAGAGATAAAACAAAATGAATGAGAAGCATCTTCGGATTCTCTTTACGTGGATCCTATAAATCTTTAAATTATGTCGGTTAATTATATATCGTGTGATTCGTTTTCGTCAAATACTATTCATATTAATTTTAAATAAAAATATTTAAAATAATTTATGATTGCACGATGTACGATGAACGGATATGATTTGAAGATCCTTAAAATCATCACAAAGAGGATCTAGAGGAGATCCTCATTCAAACAAAATGAAAGCCAAACGTGAAATTCGTTTGTGAAGTGTTTTTTGATGATTGAAAGTACTTTTTGAGGAATATTTTTGGATTTCAAAATCACTTAAAATGTATTTTTTTCAAGAAACACCAGTTATGTGCTTTTTATAAGAAGCACTTCAAATGCTTTTCCAAAATTAACTTGTATTTTTACTAAAAATCAGTTCCAAAGCGCTTTCAGTTAAACAAGTATAATTTTAAATAGAATATCACTTTGTTGAATAAGAGAAGTGATTTTCACATTTTTTTTCATACAATTTTCTGTTGTGCTATTAAATTCAGTATATCATTTGACAAAGAAAAAAAATCAATATATCAAAGAAAATATAAAACAACAAACATGGAGTCCAACCATAAACTATCACATTATGCGGTCTGCAAAATATAGGGTTTGTTTGGAGATTCTTTTGAAATAATTAAAAGAGCTTTCAGATTGCTAAAAGCGCTTTTGACCTTGTATGGCAGAAATTTTCTCGGTTCAAAAACACTTAAAGTATTTTCTGAAAGAAGCACCTGTAGTGTATTTCTTTCAGGAAACACTTCAAATATTTTTTTCATATACCACTTGCATTTTTATTAAAAAACCAATGTGCGTTTAATAGAAACGCTTTCATTGAAAGTGTTGAAAGCTCTTTTGAGCAAAAGTGCTTTTAAATAAGCAATTCCAAACGAAATTATAGTTCAAATAGATGGTATTTCTAGTACCAGAAGTATGTACAAATTTTCTTCACATCGTCACCATAACTCGAGGAAGCCCAGGCCCACACAGAACCCGAGTCTCTGGCAGAAGAATCACAGTTCAGTACGGAGTCTGTGTTTGTGGTCGCACTATCATCCAAAACTCTTGGCGATGCTCCTTTCTTCCCCAAATTTTCATCAGCAAATTTGAGCCTTATTTCCCCTTCTTCTGTGGGACCCATCTCAACGATTGTGCTCTTGCTTCTTCTCTCTGTGTCCATGGTTTCTCTTTCTCCCGTTTCAGTTTCGCCTCCGATTCCTCCTCATTGTTCACTCCGGCGTCGTTTATCCACCATTTCCTCAATTGGGTTTGTTTCTGATTAAATTTCCTCAACTGGGATTGCTTTATTTTCATCCGAATCATCTCAGTGTGCTGTATCCGGTCTCTGAGCTCCTGCTAGTTCGCTGAGGCATTTAATCGAACACATTGTCTCATGGCTTCCATTGGGTCTCTGCATTTTATCATGGGGACCAAGACTGATAGCTCTGTGCTCGTTCACAGCAGTACTAATCCCCGGCTCAGATTCCCATTCTTCACGAATCGGCCAAGAAGCTCCATTGAAGTTAGTGGGATCAATGCTTCTGCAAATGGGTCTGCAGGAGCTGCGCGAATGTGCAGAGGACGGAATAGTTGGTGCACAAGAGGGAAACTTTGGAGGATTAAGCCGCTGAGAGCGATCCGAAAGAGCTCGGCGGAAGGTGAGGACGCGGGCGAGCCGGAGGACGCGCTTCAGGCCACCATTGAAAAGAGCAAGAAGGTTCTTGCTGTGCAAAGAGAACTACTACAACAGGTAATTTCAGAAATACTCTCTTTTGTTATGAAAGTAATTAATTTTAGGCCAAAAGATTGCATCTTTTGTGTTTTTAGGAATTAAGGAGAGTTGAAATTAGAATTAGCAAATTTGGGTTTTGCAGATTTCTGAAAGAAGGAAATTGGTATCTTCTATACAAAATAGTGATATAAGCCAAGAAGAAGGGGAAGCTTCTTTTGAACAAGGGAATGAATCGTTTTCGAATGCGGAAAGTTCTTCAAGTAGTGTTGATAAAAGTGTTGACCAAATTGGCAGCATTGTTTTGAGCAGCTATGAGCATTCAACTGAAGAAAAGGATTTTGAAACCGTGCCTTCTGCTCTTAGTGGAGGGCTTGATGAAATAGAAAAGGATCATGGAGATGCTTTACCATTTGATAAGTCTCCCAGTGAACTAGAGTCCAGTAACCATGTGGGTAAGGATAGTTCCAAGACAGAGTGGTCTGATGGTTTGCCAACTTTTCTTACTAACCCTGAGTCGTCTATGCTAAAAGATGACGAGCTTATTGATTTGAAAGAAACAAGTGAAGAGGAGGTCAGTGATGGGGCAACTGGTTTTACGAGTGAGGACGTAAAGCCCCCTCCTTTGGCTGGGCCTAATGTCATGAATGTCATATTGGTAGCTGCAGAATGTGCTCCATGGTCGAAAACAGGTAATGTTTCGTAAGCCCAGAATGCGAGATGTCAATGTCCTTTATAAAGACTGAAAATGAAGAATTCTTTTAGGTGGGCTTGGAGATGTTGCTGGGGCTTTACCAAAGGCTTTGGCTCGGCGTGGACACAGGGTCATGGTAATGCTTTTCTCTTTTATAATTTGAAACTTCTTTCCCAAGTTTTGTTTTTCAGTAATTTCATGGACAATGAGCTGGGAATATAATGAAATGTTAGGCATGGGGATCAAGTCAAACTGACATTTCCAGCATGCATGTTTTATAGACCTCCCATTTGATTTACAATTCTATGGCTGCTAAACCCATACTCTCTCTCTCTCTCTCTCTCATAGGTTGTGGCACCTCGCTACGGTGATTATGCGGAACCCCAAGATTCAGGAGTTCGGAAAGCATATAAAGTTGATGGCCAGGTGTGCAGCATCTGCAGCATTTGATTGTTACTAATATTCTAAGTTCTGAATTAGATACATTTTAACTGCTCGTCATCTAAAAATAACTTACTTTGCAGTATATGGAAGTAGCATATTTCCATGCCTATATTGATGGTGTAGATTTTGTCTTCATTGAATCTGCTGTGTTCCGTCACATGGAGCACAATATATATGGAGGAAAGCGTGAGGTAAGATATTTGTTCTCATTTTAGCTTCAATTGCTTCTCAAGAGGGATAAACAATGTTCGTCTTATTTAGATTTATTAGATTACCTTTGCTATGCTATGCAGCAGATTTATCATTAGAGACTAGCATTGAAGAACCACTACCAATTAAAAGAATGGCTCTGACTTAATGACACCTTTTTCTCCTGAAAAAATCTATCAGCTATGTCATTTGTACCCCTTGTTAACAAAGATTTGTTTGCTATTTGTTAATTATTGTATCAGGATACAGATATGTAAAGTTTGTCTTGATGGGACTTGGATGGGCTTAGTTTCTTAAGCGAAAACAAAGTTTAGGTTGGGTTTCGGATTTTAAATTAGGCCTCGTCTAGCCTGGTGCAGCTCAGTATTTATTTCTTAAAATATATTTTTCAAGAATCGGTTAGAGGAGGAGGGGGAGGGCGTCAGGTAGTTGACAGCCGGCACTCCGTTTTCACGTCGAGTCCCTATGGTTAGAATTGATTAGGACTTGCTCATACACACTCAAATCTTAATCTATTTGTGATTAGAAATGAGAAAGCAACTAAAACTAGATAACTTTGTGCATGAAAATTTACAAGATAGGCAGCAGTGGCTTCACAGATAACCAAATAAATAAATTGAGCCTAAGCGGCATCTCAACCTTGATGGTGCTCCTTGTGTGATACTTGCTGATTACATTGTTGATTTTGGGTATCATCGATTTAAAATTATAAACTCCTTTTGCAATATGGATCACTGTTGTTTTGCATGCCATTTTAATGCAAATTGAGTTACTTTTCTTTGGTTTTATGGTGCAGGATATTTTAAAACGCATGGTGTTATTTTGCAAGGCAGCAGTTGAGGTACACCACCTCACCTCTTTGCATAGAGTCAAATTAGCAAATGCTCTTTTCCATTTTAACTGCTAAGACGTGATTAAAAAAAAATAAAAATAAAAACTGGTTGCAGGTCCCTTGGCTTGTCCCCTGTGGCGGTGTTTGCTATGGTGATGGAAACTTGGCTTTCATTGCAAATGATTGGCATACTGCATTGTTGCCGGTGTATTTGAAGGCATATTATCGGGACAATGGTTTAATGATATATACAAGATCCATCCTTGTAATCCATAACATAGCTCACCAGGTTTGTTCCTTTGATAAAGTTCATTTAACTGAAACTTATTTTCAAGTCATTTTATTGTCTGGTGGAAACTCGAGCTTAATTTGCATTGTAGGTTAGAAAATAAGCTGAAACTTTGTCATTCAATTGTTAACTGCAATATTCTGGTTATCAAGTAAGTCCAGAACACCATAAGTTGTTTCAAAGGTTTTGCATGTCATCGTAGTATAAAGAATTGTTTGCATGGATTATAAGTGTTAAGTTTATCCAGGGTCGGGGGCCAGTAGCTGATTTCTCCTTCGTTGATCTTCCGGGACACTACCTGGACCTTTTCAAAATGTATGACCCTATTGGAGGCGAGCACTTCAATATCTTTGCAGCTGGTCTAAAGACAGCAGACCGTGTGGTTACTGTGAGTCATGGATATGCGTGGGAGCTTAAAACGGTTGACGGTGGTTGGGGATTGCACGGGATCATAAATGAGAATGACTGGAAATTCAGAGGCATTGTTAATGGAATTGACACAGAAGACTGGAATCCACAGTATGATGTTTTCTTGAAATCAGATGGTTACACGAACTACTCCCTGGAAACACTTAAGACTGGCAAGGCTCAGTGTAAGGCAGCCTTACAGAAGGAACTGGGTTTACCAGTCCGTGAGGATGTCCCCGTAATTGGTTTCATTGGGAGGCTGGATCACCAGAAGGGTGTTGATCTCATAGCAGAGGCAATTCCTTGGATGATGGGTCAGGATGTGCAACTAATCATGTTAGGCTCTGGCAGACCTGACCTGGAAGAGATGCTAAGGGCATTTGAACATCAACACCGAGACAAGGTCAGGGGATGGGTTGGGTTTTCTGTACAAACGGCTCACAGGATAACTGCCGGTGCAGACATTTTGCTCATGCCATCAAGATTTGAGCCGTGTGGATTGAACCAACTATACGCTATGAACTATGGGACAATTCCAGTTGTTCATGCTGTTGGTGGACTAAGAGATACCGTGCATCCTTTCAATCCGTACGAGGAGTCAGGACTTGGGTGGACATTTGACAGCGCTGAGGTCGGTAAGCTAATCCATGCATTAGGGAACTGCTTCTATACGTATCGAGACTACAAGCAGAGCTGGGAAGGAATCCAGAGACGAGGGATGATGCAAGACCTGAGCTGGGATCATGCTGCTCAGAACTATGAGGAGGTTCTTGTTGCTGCAAAGTACCAATGGTGAGCTATTGCTGCTTGACGGCCACAAGTTCTTTCTAAGTACTTCATCGATCCACCGCGGTTCTGTTAGGGAAGTAACTACGGTAGTTGTTACTGTGTAAATATTGTTCAGACTCCTCCCATCTCTCTTTTTTTTTCTTCTAATAAATCACACAGTTGCTCGTACTCAGTCCGGCACGCGAAAGTGAAAAGAATGATAGATGTTTCTCTTGTTTTTAATCAGTACTGCTTATTTTTGCTATTGAAAAGCTTCTTCTAATCTAATCTAAACTGCGTGAAAGGGTTTCAAACTTTGGGTTGCCGACGGAAACACTTTGTCTTTGGCAAACTTGGCTACGCCTAAATCTACAAAAGTTTTGCCTTGCGTAGCCTCGGCCATTTATCTGATCAACCATTGATGATGATTAAAACTAATATAGCATAACTCAATACATTAGGAATACAAATTAAATTTGTGAAAAACTAATGAAAAGAGCTTGAAAACTTTGAGTTTTAACAATAAAGACAAAATAAAAAGTAACCTGAATAATATCATGTTTGACTTTTTAGTGTAAAAATATGATTTTTTATTAAAATAAACAGTACCACGGGCTTTTCTTTAAAACTCCCCTAAATTTATTAATTTTGTCAGTATTAGGTTTGACTTTTTAGTGTAAAAATGTGATTTTTCGTAAAAATAAACAGTACCACAGGCTTTTCCTTAAAACTCCCTTAAATTTATTAATTATGTCAAATCCGAATAGAAGACTATTATTAACGTTCAACCAACAAATCAATAAGAAGACTACATCCCAAGTAAACAACTCTAATTGCATTCGGAAACATCCAACTACATTAAACTGCATCTCCTCGTAAAAGACGCTTTCGATATTTGTGACTCTTTGAAAATGAAACTCCCCTGTCCCGATCAAATTGCAGACAGGACCGCGCAGAAAGCAGTCCTGCAAAACCCTTCAACAGACACCCTTCAACCGCGCATGGAGATTTGGAAGAATTCACTGGACTGCTATGTCTTATGGTTTCCATGGAATCATCCACAGTATTTCCTGGTGTACTCTCCTCCCAGTTTGCTGGTATGTAAGACATTGGCCGACTTTTCTTAGTGCTTAATGCAGGATTCCAGTCTGTACAGTATGGGAAGAGGGCGGGCGAGGGCACCACTTCTTCCATGTGAAGGTCCTCCCCAGGTAACTTCCTTTTCAAACCAGGTAAAATCTTCAAGCCTGCACCACAATATTATTAGGACGAAAGCTGGGGGATACGTTACGCCAATACAAGCCTGGCATTAGTTAAGGTAGTGAATACTGGGACTGCGCTTGGAAGTATAGTTACATACCAGGAAGAGGGTCATCATATGTACATGACCACGATTCTGCATCACCACAGTTACAGTTGAAGCTAGAGTTATTGTTAGATCCGGAAACCCTGCACGACAAAAGTCTGTTCAATTATACATTTACGTAGACCTATCATTATGAGTATTTACAGCCTCACATTTCATGAGCTATCATTACGAGGGTATAGAGATCAAACCTGTACATATGTTCAACAAAGTCATCTATTAAAACAGGCCAAGCTCCTGCAAAAATGATTAAAGCAATGATCATTCAGATAGGAGTCTCATATCTGATGGACTCTAAGGGAAATTTGAACTTATCGTTATGGGCTTAGATAGAAGGGAGTAAGCATCAACACAAAACTAATGATATATACCTTCAGGATCATACCCTTCCAGATTTTCATGCACACAGCGGCTAAAAGCTAAAACTTGCCGCCAGGTATCTTCAGAGATGTTATGCCGCTGATTTTTCTAAGAGGAATACCAAAGATTAGTTGCCTTGAAATAGAGAAAAACTTTATGCACATGAACTAAAAAAAATACATTCTCATATTTCATATAATTTTGCACTTACGTGCAGAATTCTTGGTTCTAGCCACTACAGTGTTGACACTTTGGCTTCTGTCTATACATAACTTTATATGACAACCAACTACATGACATATAAAAATGAATTCTTGGTTCTAGACTTCTAATCATGGTCACCATTAGCAAACCAAACATAGTTCTACACAATAACTGTTTCAACAAAACATACTAGCAAGCACTGAGTTGGGGTAATCTTACCTCAACAAAATCACACCATTGATTCAGCAACCGAAACCTCCCAGCTAGGACTACTCTCCATGCATTAACCGCCTTATTTACAGCTGCAAATGAATCAAGAAAACAAGAAAGACAAAGGAGGGTGTTACATTGCAGGAATGAACAAAAAAGGTTAAGAACTATTGTGGATTGAATAAAATAAGAGAGCTTACTGATATTCTTCTGACCGTTTTCACGGCACATGAAGAAAACAAAATCATAGAAACGTGAGAATTCAGAAAAGTCTACCTGCATAGGGAGGTTATTTCTTTTGTTAGGAACTCATTGAGTCATAGTGGAACCAAACATCACACATTAGTTAACAAGAATCTACTTTAAAAACTTCGACAAATAAATCTTACCATCGAATCCAACCGCAACATTAGCTTGAAAACTTCATCAAAAATTGATATCCTGTCAAAGCGGACAGTCTACTACTCAATAAACTGATATAGAAAAGGGGAAACAAAATGCTTAAAGGCTAAAATGCTTAAAGGCTAAAATTATAGCATGATGCAGGATAACCTCATCCTAAGGGCACTCCAAATTATGTTTTGTCCCATAACTCTAGCTTCCATATAAAGATATATACCTAGCGTGCAGTTTTGATTCCACCAGATATAAGAGCTGAGTTAATGCCTCCCTTGAATATTTAGCCATCTGTGAATCATCATTTTCTCTGTATCCTTCACCGTGACCGTATCCATTTCCCGTCCTGATATCTGCAATTTAACAGTCAGAATTCGTACTCTAGACTCATCAATAATAAAAATTGAAATTTACATAATGACTGGTTATACTTTACACAGAACTGGAGACTAAAATAACTCCGTAGCTCATAAAATCGAAAACTGCAATTTCAGAAAATACCCACGAAACGGAAGCTACTTGAGACCAGAAATGCATTTGCTTTATTTCCTAAGATAGTTAACGATAATTGAAAACTCTTTTAGTAGTTCACAAACAAATGCAGTTAGTTAGCAAGAAAGATACAGCCTTTGCACCATAACTATCACAAAGCTGCAGTATTTTCACACAATGGAACCTCAAACATGTAAATTTCACGTATTAAATCAGCTCACTGCATGTCTTCTCCACACTTTCTCGGCAACCAAACAGAAAATAATTTACAACCCAACTTTAGTAAGGAAAATCCCACAAAAGTAAAGTATTTATTTTCAAATTTTCTCGCACCAAATTGAAAACTTTCAAAACCCCATTAGAAAGAAGTTAAAGGTTCAACAAATCATCGGCTTTCTACCCCAAAAATACCATAAATTCAAATTTCACAGCCAATGAACAACCATGAGAGAAAGAATTAAAGCTTTATACGAATTGGGAGAATATAATTAGCGAAACGACAATAGGAGAAATTCAAAAAAAAAAAGAAAAAAAAAGCCGGAGTAAAATAATTACCGCAGAATCGGCGATAAATCTCAAAGATGTCGAATCGAGTGGACCCGGACGGATCCATCAAGCTCCGGGGAGCTTAGGGTTTTCAGGAAGGAGGAGGTGTGTGGCTTTGGCGTCCACCACAAGCTACCGAAGCTCTTTCTCTTTCTTCTCTGGTTTTTCTCCCCTCTTCCAGTTGGGTGTGTTGATCGATGTGTCAGGCTGAGTGAGAGAGAGAGAGAGAGAGAGAGAGAGGATGTTGTGAACCGGATCTTTAATGTTGAGTGTGGGTCGGGTATTTCAGGTTTACCAGTCTCAGCCCAGTCCGTTGGGCGGGATTTATATTTGTGGCATCATAAATTCATGGCTCATTTCGAAAGATAAAAAAAATAAAGAAATATAAGAGTATAAGAGTCGAAAGTGCGAAAATTCGGTTGGTTATAGTAGTGTGTTTCTCTTCTGCACTTAAGTTCAACTCCTCGATGTAGAGTTTAGATTCAAATAATTTGAATACCACTTAAATAAAAAATTCCTCATAGCAATTCTTCTATGCCCGAATAAGAAAAAAAAATCTTTAATTGTAAACAATCGAACAAGGATTTATTTTGCAAATTATTGAATAATTTAACTAAATTCATATGAGAAGAGGAATTCGAACTGAGGCGTAAAGTGGACATCACGTAATCATAACCAATTTGCTCTAACAATGCGAGTTTGAATTGATTATTATTAACTTATTAAGGCCTTTATTTTTTAGATATTTTTAGCAATCTTGATTTAAATTCAAATACATTAATTTTTAAATGTTAGCTTCTTTCCTTATATTTTTTTCAAAATTTGTTTTAAAAAAATAGGGAAATTGTTACCTTATAATTCACATGACCAAAATAAACTATTTTCTCTAGGGTTTGGGAAGCTTGCCCTAGTTCTTGAAGAATTAGGTTTAATTTTTACCGCAGCCTTTATATTATAAATCTAAATCCCTAAATCTCGGTCTTTTTGTTAAGCAAAACGAGATCAATCTCTCTAATCCTTGAAGCTTCAAAGACGACACAAACAATGTCTTCCCAATCGCAATCTGCAGGCTCTTCCTCCGACCAACCACCGAATACTACTACTCAACCGACAACGTCCTCCACACTACACGCACGCGACGTCGACTCCGACGATACGTCCATTGTACTAGCCCTACCAGCTACCCCAGCGATGGCAGAAGTCGAAGCAGCATCCCAAACGTACAGTTTCCTCGCCTCTTATTTTTATCCCAATCCCCCGCCTGCCGCTGCCTTTGCGGCCATGGCGGGCCTGGCGTTGGTGACGGCCTTGGCTGGGGCCACCCAGGAGTCGATAGAAGCCTTGCCGAAGGTGACGGTGACGGAGGAAACAACGGCGGAGTGCAGTATCTGTTTGAAGGAGTTGGAGGTTGGGGAGGAAGCCAAGGAGATGCCATGTAACCATAGGTTTCATCCGGTTTGCATTGTTAGCTGGCTCGAGAGGCGTCCTTCCTGCCCGCTTTGCCGGTTTTCGATGCCTACGAGGGCGGAGGCGGCCGCACAAGGGCGAGGACATCAAACCACCGGGGTGGATTCGATTGAAATGGTTGATTAGGGTTCAGTGAGTGCTAGAGACTCACGGAAGAATAATAATAATATTAGTAATAATAATGATAATATAGTGTCGTTTTTTTTTATTGAAAATTGTTGTGTTATTAGTTTAAAATAGGTATTAGATAATTGTTTGTTCTTATATGTATGAGTAATATATATGACATTTAATCTCTTTTTATTCTTCTTCTCGTACGAATATATATTACATATTAATATGTATAAACCCCGTTAGTCGAGGGATTTCTCAAATAAACTTTTGTGCTTGTTTCTTTAATGGATTTATAAATTCATGGATTTTTATGAAGTTTAATTGATTTGTAGAAATTTTATATAAAATTTTGATTCAATTCCTTCGAAATCTCATGGGAAAATGTGAGATTTGTGGATACTTAAAATAATCTCCCAAATTCCCTCTAATTCCTCAACTCTCTCAAATTCTAAAAATTTCTAATTGAATACACCTGAAATGTTATAAACTTCTTTAAAACCTTAATTAAGGAGGGTGTATTCAATTGAGAATTTGAGAGATTTTAATGGATTTATAAATCCATGGATTTTTGTGGAGTTTAATTGATTTGTAGAGATTCCATGTAAAATTTTGATTCAATTCCCTCGAAATCTCTTGGGGGGAGGTGAGATTTGTGAATGCTCAAAATACACTACGAAATCTCTCCAATTCCCTCTAATTCCTCAACTTTCTCAAATTCTTTAAAATTAAATTCTAATTGAATACAACTGGAATGTTATAAACTTCTTTAAAATTCTAATTGAATACACCCGGATTTCTAAGGATTTTTATAAACTATCTTAAAATCCTGATTGAATACACATTGAATTTCAGAGAATCACTTAAATTCCTGATTGAATACCCCTAGATTCATTAAAAGAATTAAAATCCCTCAAAATCCTAATTGAATACACCCTCCTAAATACATCTGGATTTCTAAAGATTTTAATAAACTATCTTAAAATTCTAATTGAACTTAAAATCCTAATTGAATACACTAGATTCATTAAAAAAATTAAAATCTCTCAAAATCCCAATTGAATACCCTAAGTTTTGAGCGTTGGAAGAATTCCATCTTCTGGGCCCCTTCGCAAAAGAACCAAAGAAAGCAAGAAAGAAAATCTCTTCACTATTTTCCTATAGAGTCTGGGAGATGGACTCGTCCTTCACGAAGCAGGAAATAGCATGCCTTCTATGACAGGCTCGACTCTAGAGTATCCCTCTAGCGCCCCTTAATATATCTGTATTCCTCTGCAACCTCAACAAGTAAGCAAGCAAATTAATCACAGCGTCTAGCAATTCAGAAGATTATTACTCGAAGACAACAACGATGTCCCAAGAATCCAGCAACGCTTCTGTAGCGGTGGCGGCATCGATAGGATCATTCATGGAGGAAGCATGGATGACGAAGCCTTTTCTGTCGGACGAGTGGCAGTGCTGCAGTATTTGCTTGGAATGCTTGAACAGTGCAGAAGCCGATAAGGAGGTAACATTGCCTTGTAAGCATAAGTTTCACTCGGCTTGTATTCAAACCTGGCTCGCCAAGCGCGATATATGTCCGCTCTGCGGGATCAATGTTAAGCCTGCCGTGCAGCTCTGCAGGATCAATGTTAAGCTTGACGTGCCGGCAATGATGGAAGAAAACGATGAGATCAACGTGTGGGTGAATATGATCACCAATATGGCTCAACTATGGCACTTTGATAGTCTTTGAAGATGTTACTGTTTTATGTCAACTTTTTCTTATTCATCATATGTAGCTTCCTATTGACATCTTACTTTAATTAGTTTGTATTTTATGAGAGCGAGGCTTGACGCAATAAAAAGGTTGTTTCTTTGTGAACAAAAGATCACGGGTTTGAGTCGTGAAAACAGTCACTTTACAAAGCAAAGATAAAGCTGCGTACAATAAACATTCCTACCTCAACTCTCGCAAAGTGAAAATTCTTGTTGGCTTGGGTAGTCCTTTTATTTTATCTGTTTGTTAATACATTTATTTGATTCAAAAACAACAACAAAGCTTTGTCCCACTAAGTGAGGTCGGCCATATGAATTTTAAAACGCCATTGCGTCTGGTTTTGCTCCAAGTATACGTTGATTTAATTCATAAATACATTTTTTTTCTTTTAAAAATTTGAATAAGAAATAATCGACTCAAAAGACTAGGCAACAATTTTTGCAAGCAAAATGAACAAGAAAAAAAATCTTGATTTTATTCATTGGTCTTTAATCTATGTTTACAACAAACAGTATTACCCCTAAGGCTGAGAGAACTCGTACAACAGTTTGAGTGGAGTGATTTTCATTCCCTTTTTTCTCTCCTACACTCCTCTCTTTTTTGCAACAGAATCAAGAGACGGGGAGTACGTAAATAACTCTGCCATCACCAGTAATTTCCACAAGAGCAACTCCCATCCTTGAAATGGTGGAATCTGCTGGCGTCCCTCACTATGATTTCCCTTCCCGTAACCCTCGCAATTAACTTAACTGCAGAATGGCAGTCTCCGCAAATGCGGACTCTGCACAATTTGCAGTGGTGTCCCATCCGAAGTATTGATCAGACCATAAGCGATGGCCAGTTTCTCGCTGTGGTAAAACGACGTCTGCTCATGTTCATCGACATCAGGAAGTAGATACTTCTCCTCAGGGGTGTAACCGTGTTCTGTAATCTTGCTTATCAAGTCATCCACTTTCTGGTAGATCTCTCTTGTTTTGGCGTGGCTTTTTTCTCCAGAACGAAAAATATGCACCTGCTTTTTAATTTCGATCCAAGTGCATGCTGGAAGCATTCTCAAACCTTTCCGTCTTAGAGTCTGAACGACACCAGCAGCCTCCCTCAACTTCCCAGAACTGTTGTATATATTTAAGAGCACAATATAATTACTTAGCTTATCAGGTTCCATCCCATAAAGTTTTTCTGCTGCAAATTTTCCGAGCTCTAAATTCCCATGGACTCGACAAGCTGTTAGCAGGGCAGCCCACATATTTGCCGTAGGATCAAAGGGAGCGTCTATTATTAGTGCATAAGCTTCATCCAAAAGCCCCTCTCGACCTAGCAATTCAATCATACAAGCACAATGCATCGCCCGGGGCTTGATCTTGTGATCCCTGCTCATTGATTCAAAAATCTCCCATCCACGTTCTGATAAACCAGAATGACTGCAAGCAGACAATACAGCAAGAAATGTAACATGATTAGGTACCATTCCTTCCCGAAGCATCTTCTCAAACATCTCAACAGCCTCATCGCCCCGGCCATGATTACCATACCCAGCAATTAAAGCATTCCAAGATATTACGTTCTTGAGAGGCATCTGGTCAAAAACATGACGAGCGTCTTCTATTCTTCCCCATTTGCTATAGAAGTCAACGAGTGATGTGTTGGCCACTATATCTAACCCAAAACCATGACGAACTAGACCTGCATGAGCTTGCTTAGCATGTTCCGGTGAAGCCAGCCTTGCACAGATTCTTATGATCATGGAAAATGTGAAATGGTCCATCTTAACACCGGAATCACGCATGTCATAGTACATACCCAGAGCTTCCTCACTGTAACCATGAAGTGCATAACCTGCAATGATGGTATTCCATCCTACCGTCGTCTTCCGTGGCATCTCATCAAAAACCCACTGAGCATCTTCGATACTCCCACACTTGCTGTACATATCGATCAACGCACAAGACACGAATATATCAGCACCTAGCCCCATCTTCAAACAACAAGAATGAAACTGTTTTCCAGCAAAAATGAGTCCGAACCCAGCCGATGCCCGAATCATGGTGGCAAAAGTCCGTGACCCAGCATCAGAAAACTCCTGCCACATAATTAGAAACAACCGGAAGGCCTCCATGAAATTCCCCGAATCCACAAGGCCCCCGATTATCGTGTTCCAAGAAACCTGGTTTCTCACAGGCATTTCATCGAAAAGCCTACGTGCATCAATCATCATCCCACATTTCACATGCATAAGCAGCACCCTGTTCCTCATATACTGATCCAACTCAAACCCATTACTAATCATGTAATTAGAAACCCTCTTAACCCCCCTAATCGATTTCAAAATAATACAAGCGCTCACCAACGCGTCATAAGTACTACCCGCCAATTCATACCCGCCTTCAAACTCCAAAATCTCAAACAATTCAAGTGCTTCTCGGTACCGATTACACAAAACCAGCTTCTCGATCTGACTACACAGCCCAGTATTGCGTTTAACGATCTGGGTATCTTCCAAAGGCGCTCCCTTGGGCTCATCGACGTCGATTTTCGACGGCACGGGCTTCGGGCGCGGCTTCAGCTCCTGCTCCACTGAGGAACACCTGATATGCGGCAATGGGTTCCTCCATTTTAGTCGATTGAACTGGAAACAGTACCCAGAAAACAGAGATAACGATCTCCGCCTTAAGAACTTAGGATCCGAGAACGAAAAATGGAAGCTGGATCCGCTCTGGATCTGATCCAACGCCAAGTTTTGATACCGCAACACCGGGATCTCCATGATTTGGAAAATGGAGCTCACTCAGTGAATCAGAAATGGAGCTGATGAAGAAAGATGGTACCTTTGAAACGGAACACCGGAGTCTCCGTTCAGTGAAACAACGACGTTACGGTTGCGAAGAGAGGAATGGTGCCGTTTCAGGGTGGAAAGGTGGAGAGTGATGGGGACGGAGGGGTCGGTGGTGTAGGAGAGAGGATCAGCATTGGGAATTCCGCCGAGAAGAGTCAGGTGCGGGTAGTTCGAAGTTGCTCACCTTCCAACCGAAAGCTTCTATATTTCTGTGCAAGTTTTGAAGGTGGAAGGTAGGGAAAGGGATCCTCTTCGTACCAAAGCTCAGGAATTAAATGATTCGGACCTTTACGATTCATCACGGTTAAAAGCAAAAAGGTTTGTAAAAAAATTTAGAAGTTATAATAATTTTGAATCGTAAGATTAAATTTTAAAGATCCAGATCATTTGATTCTTCAGATCTGCATGCATAGATAGGGAGAGGATCTCTTTCTGAAAAGTAGAAAGCAAACGAAAACGATGCGTTTTTTGGGGTCAAATCGATACTAAAGACTTGGACAATTGAGTACTGGTTAGGATCCAACCAATCTAATTTTTTTTTTTTGTATAATCAATAAGGGGAGTGATTTCCGCACTCTGTAGCGTCTATTTTGTTTTTATGTAAATTTTATTTAAAGAATTTTAACGAAAATTTTTTGGTATTGTTTATTTAACGAAAAATCATATTTTTACACTAAAAAGTCAATCATGATACTATTCATTTTACCTTTTATTTTGTTCTTATCGTTAAAACTCAAAGTTTTCAAGTCATTTTCATTAGTTTTCCTTTTTATTTATTTGTTAAATTCAATAATCTAAAAGAGAGGGATGCATATTTTATTTTCTAATTATAAAAAATAGACTCGTGTCTTAAAAGGAGTATCGATTTTTCTTGAGCGTCGATGGTTCTCGATCACTCAACGTAAATCGTTAGATCAAATCAAACTGTTAAATATACGTTAGTGCTTAGCGTTCGTAAGTACTCAAAATGGAAAAGCATGCACACAAAGTCTTGTGTTTGAAGTTTATCAACTTTGATATTGCTTATATAGAAAATTTTACATGTACAGAAAATACAAACAATTCCTTTAAATAAATATGTTGGCACATCGATCATATAAATATTTACAAACTATACACTTTACTAGTGGTAACTAGTTTTACTTATGTGATTGTACATGATTAATTTGAAATACCGTTATCATAGAAAAGTAATTTGAAATACCGAACGATTTAAAATAATGTTATCATGGACAACATGATTGATTTGAAATACCGTTTTATGTGTAGCAATAATGACAAGTGCAAAAAATACAAATATTTATAACTATACCTTTACTAGCGATAATGAGTTTTACTTATGTGATTATAATGGGACACGTATTATACTTTCTAAATCAATCACACAATGTTACGCGCCTGAACTTTCCCGCTTGATTGTGCATTAATTTGAAATATAGTTATCATGCACTGTAATTTGAAATACCGTTACTGTGTCATCCCAAATGCAAAGGAGTTCATCGATTGAACCATTTTTGGGAAGAAAAAGAAACAAAAGTGAATTTCACTAAAGAAAAATGAAACGCCACCACATTTTCATGATCGCTTCAAAGGAAAGGAAACCTCCTTTATGCCAACATGTACCCTTTCATCTTTCTCAAAACAAAACAAGGTTCACTAGTACTCTAACTGCAAGCATTCTCTACATTCCTGCAAGCGTAAGGTGAAACCATGTCAAAACTTCCCCCAAAGAAGATATCGTGAACGTTAAACGTCAAACAACGTAAACTCAAACGTATACGCGAAGTCCACCGTGAATTTCTTCGAGAATTTGTGCCTACGAAACCATGTACCGCCAACCCACCCGTGTGTGCAGATGAACTGGTAGAGCAACAAGGAATGTTTGAACTGAAAAAACCTATCAACCATTGCAACGTCTGAGTCTTTCTAACCTAACCATAGGAGTTTCAAATTCGAAATTCGAAACCCTGTTACTCTTGAGCAGAATGAGAAAGCCTCGATCTCCTTTTGAACACAAGAGGAGATATCAAAGAATTTAGTACTCCCACGGCGTAATGGTATTGAGAAACATGATTCATCGGAAACCTACACGAGGGAGCACGCCCTGCAACCGCAAATGAATTAGGAATGCATCTAACATTTCACTGGCAACCTACAAGACTGATTTCTTTATGATAAAGCTTAAAAGCTAAACTGAAGCAGAATAAATTACTCAGATGAAAGCAAAGCCAAGTAAATTATACAGTGTGGTGCAAACATGAGTAGACAAAGCATATCATAACCGGAGTCAAATCAAATGTTTAGTTCCTTCGGGGAATTGCATTGAGTTTACCTCAACAGTTTCCACTCATCGAACTGGAACATCCAAGCCAAGTTTCCAGATTGCTGTCATGATGCGAATGAAAAAGTTACCTGCTTTTACAAGTTTATATAGCCAAGCAAGCTGTAAGTTTCAACAAGAACCGAAAAATCACAGAATCGGAGACCGCCCCTCTGCAGCTAAAGTATGATACACTGCTCCTAGTCTCCTAAGCACTGAGTAACAATTGGATTGTGCAAATGCAGAGAAACCATTTCAAGACAATCTCACCTCATAGAAGAATCATATCTTATAAACGAAAAGAAAAAGAACCGATCAACTGCATCAATGAAGGACCAAATTCAAATTTCAGGTTCAAAAACTTTAGGGAAAAACATATAACCAAAAGGAAATGAAATTAAATAAGGGATTGTTATATATTCCTCACTATAACCAAGGGTATATAATCCTTACAACTTATTCCATGAGCTAAGTTTATTTAAAAACAACACTGTGTTCCGAGAAGACGGCCTACAGAACGGCACTCTTCTTCTCTGCATTATGACTACTCCTTTACTCATAATTTGTCCTCCCTATGGTTTGATAACCACATCCAATCCTACTTCTTGATCCTTTTAAGCTTCTTCGGTCCGGGAACTTCCAACCTACCAACAGAACACCCGCACCTAGCCCGAAACAAGAGCACTGCTCTCCCATTAGGAGGTGCCATCTTCTTAAGCTCGGCCTCCAATTCGCGGTGGTGATCGCGAGGCAATTCGAATAGGCCCTTCTTCACTGCGTCCTTAACCGCCGAAGCTGAATTCTTCACGCACTCCTCCGTCTCTAGCTGAATGTCGAATTCAGCTGCCTTTCGGAGGCCCTTGCAATTGGGATTCCCACACGTCCTGCTGGTGCAGGCCAGCAGAGCCCAAGCGGCCAGTGCCGCACAGCACATGCTGAGTCCCATACATCCGTACACCAACGGAGCATTCGAAACCTCCTCCCTCAGCACATACATGATTATTTTCACAATTTCAATTGTCTTAACAGATACAAACTTCACATACGGCAATAGCAAATATCCAAAAGCAACAACCACAGCAATAAACAACACAATATCGATCATCAAAGCCCATCGAGATCGATCGCAAGACGGAGCTTTTGAGCAATTGGGAGAATTGGGTATCTTTCTTCTTCCTTGAACATGGTTGGTTTGCCTGGATTTGGCACTTGGGTCGGTTAAACTCATTGAATCCGCCATGGGAGTGTTTGGTTGGTCAACGGAGTTGCAGACCGAGATTGAGCTATGGATATATACCATTTCAAATCGAACCCAGAATCTTGATTTCCAATCCAATCAGCAAAATCGGATAAAATTCAAAACCCACCAACCTATACCGAAAAATCAGATCGACCCACCTCGCAAAAAAAAATCAAAACAAAGAACAAGAATCCGATTTGCACCTGACGATCCAATAGAATCACTCGTCGGTGCCCCGAATTGAATCCGAATCAAAACCAATCAATCCTGTTTCGACATCTCAAATTCTTGAATCCGATTCAAACAGCTACGAACTTGAGATATCAATACAGAGAAACAGAAAACGAATTGAGAGAATTGGAAAAGTGCGAACTGGGTTGGGATGCGATTGGCCGGCTCGAAAAGCTGAGAAAGCAGAGCGGACAAGGAAGAAGCATTTACTGGTTGTTTTTATCACATTTTTCTTCTTCTTCCGCGATGAACTAGTAAAACTCTCTCTCTCTCTCTCTCTCTCTCTCTCTCTCTCTGGTGCCTTTATACACGCAATGGAAAATCCGAAGCGACACGTTGTGTGGGATTACGCGGGCTGCTTCTCAGATGGGCTTTTTATATTTTGGCACCGCCACACGATGATGTGTGCATGATTTTGTGGGGCAGTTCATTGGGCTTGGCCCACTTTTGCTTAATTTGCAGTATTTAATGGAAAGAGATTCTCCGGATCCATTTCTTCTAATCCATCAAATCATGGAACATTACCGTTGAAATTTGATCCAATAGCTACAAACAGATGTTCATTTTAAAATTTAATAACTTTAACTGTTAGATTAAATTTCAATGGCACTGATCTTCTGATTTGGTGGATTAAAAAGAAGGGATCTGAAGATGATCCCTTTCGTTTAATAATTAAAAACTATTTTATTTTTATTTCTCTTTTACTTTATGGAAAAGAAACCAACTTTCGTGACTGATTTGTCCTCTTTTCCTCACACTTTCGTGAAAAAGTGTTCTTGTAGCGAATTATTAATTTTGATCGGAAATGGAGTTAGGATTTTATTTGAGAGGTCATAATTTAACATAAAATGTTTTGATTCTCTACAAAGGAAATTATGGTTTGTACTTTTAAATAATAAAATGGGCCCCACCTTCTTCTTCGTGCCCATTGAAAACCAGCCACACCCACACATCCCTCCGAAGAATGCTCCGCGACCCAACTGCTCAAAGACGTTGTAAGACCTCTCTCGACTTGCCGTTTACTAATACATAAAATGAAAAAAAAGTATGAGTTTCTCATTAAAATTTAGAGAACTTTAACGAAAAACTTCCGGTATTGTTTATTTTAACAAAAAATAACATTTTTACATTAAAAAGTCAATTCTGATACTATTCATTTTACCCTTTATTTTGTCCTTATCGTTACAACTCAAAATTTTCAAACTCTTTTCAGTAGTTTTCCTTAAAATTTATAATCCAATACCTCAAAACCCATGAATTAAATCAGACTTCCTCAATTCATAAATCTTCATTCCAAATAAGTAAACATGTCATAAAAATAATGAAATAATCTTCTTTGAATGTGTAGTTTTTCTAAACCAATCGAACAATCTAACATTTTTATTATTATTAAAATAATACAACATGTTAAATTGTCTTCTACATCTGCAATTTTGATACGTTCTAATACTCATATGTCAAATTAAATATGTTTC